TGTTTTTCCCATTGTCCAAGTAGTACATAGGAGTCCCTCATTTTAAGCTGCAAACTGTCTTGTCCATGGATGATGCATTGTGTGTGAGGGGCATGGGAATGGGTTTGACAGCTTCCCTTCTCTGAATGTTCCTAGTCACATGTTTTATTTTTAATGTTGGAAAAAATGTGCTTGCAATAAATACTTGTAATCTGAAAAAAAAAAAAAAGAAGGCCACTGTGTATTGGAGATGGAAATATGAACAAGAATGATCAGGGATGCTGGGATGGGGACATTACTGGGAAGTCCCAGCACTTGGGAGGCTGAAGCAGGAGGATCGCAAGTTAGAGGTCAACCTGGGCTACACAGTAAGTTCAAGGCCAGGTGGAGTACATAGCGAAATCCTGTCTCAACCCCCTGCCCCTAAAAGGATGATCAGGGGAATGGATGATTAGGCTAGGGCTCTAAAGATAGATATTTCCTAGCAGAGAAAGCAAGTAGTGAGGCAAGAGGATCGGGACAAAATGTGGGACACAGGAAATAGTACAAAGGCGACACTCTGATTACATAAGAGTGAACTGCTTTCTGTTGCTAGGTCCATGTGGGGTGAAGGGGCAGATTCAGTGGGAAGTAAAAGAGAAGAGGCCAACAGGGCCAAGTTGAATTTTGCTCTGTAGGGCAGGTGATGGAGCTATTGCTTGATGTCGAGCAGCAGGGAGACAGCAGATTGGAGTTAGAAGAGGTGTCTGGCCAGCATGTGGAGGACTGGCGTGGGGTCACCAGGAAGACCCTCAGGATAGTCAGGGTTTACTGAGAGGAGTGCGGTGCTGTGTTGTTGCGGGAAGAGCTTAGTGTGACTCCCAGGTTTCCCGTCTAGGAGATTAGAGTGCTAGGAGGGGCAGGTCCCTCGGAATAGGGTGATGGGAGGGGTGGGAAGTAAAAACAATGACTCAAACCTAGCTGGCGTTTCAAATCTGGAGAATGCTGTCTGGAGCCATTTCTTGACCTGTGAAAGATTTCATACCCTCTCCTCTGCCCCCTGGAGCTCTCAGGCTTCTCAGGTGTAGCTACTTCTGGTCATTTCTGAGCACAAGCTTCTGCTTCCAGCAACCAATTCCATTTCTGGATCGCTGCACCATGGCAGGTGCGTGGACCATCCACTGCACTGGCTTTTCTCCATTTGAGGAGTGACCTGGAGCTCATGGAGGGCAGTGCTCATGACAGTGTTACATAAGATTTGGAGAGTTCCCGAGGTTCTACTTTATAGAAATGTAAACACAAACCATCTCTCAGACCTCTTTTTTTTGGTTATCCTCATTTTAAAAAGTTCTTTGGGACACCTCAAGCAGTTTCCACTTGGGTGCTTTCTCACTTTTTCTCACCATCTTGATGATACTGGCTGCCAGAATCTTCCATCCCCAGTTGGCCCAGAAAATCCCATATTCTTCTCTCAGGTTTAGAAATTGTGCCCCATAAAGTTTCTGAGCTTGGATCTAGTTCCCTTTTTGTTCCCTAAATCCATCAAATTCTTAGTTGAGTAAGAGGGTACTTGGCAAGGATATTACCCATTAGGCTTAAAGGTAATTATAAATATTTTTCCCCAACATAACGTGTTGTGCAAAACTCAAAATACTATTTTCCTTCTACTGCTTACACCCCACTTTGGTAACTGGAATCCCAAGGCTGAGAGTCGAGAACCTGCTGTCTGAAGTCCTTTTGTCTGGAGTGGCCCCACTTTGGCTGCTTGTCAGTGCCCTGCCCGCACCCCCAGGACGACCCTTTTGGTGACTTGTGCATTCCTCTCCTCCCCAGATGGTGCTTCTATGCACAGTAGGAAGGTGGCTGAGCTGGGCAGGGGCTGGCCCACAGGGGGGAAGGGGTGGTGTTGCTTCTTTCTTGTCCAAGTTGCTCATCTTCAAAACAGCGGGGAGGACATCCGTGCAGTTTCCATTCCAAGTTAGTTGCACCATCAGCACCATTTCTTAGGTAAGTCATTACTGTGTTTCAAGTTCACCCCAGGAATGCCAAAGGGCCACAAGCCACCAAAGTGGAGGACCTGGCATAGAACCTTAAGGGGAATGACTGGGATCCCTGCAGAGGTGAAGAGGGGGAATGGGAGGGCTTAACTATGCTGTCATCAGCCCTCGGGACTTTGTCCATTCACCCGAGACAAGCATCTGCTGTTGTCAAAAACCATCTCCAGCATTAAGTGTTCAGGAAATTTGCTTGTCCCCACTGAGCCTTTAGCCAGTTGGAAAAAAAGACTTCCACAGATCCATCACTGGAAAATGCGCTAAGAGCTCCATCTAGGGATGCAAGGGAGTAGCGTGGATGACTGCAGTGGCAGCAGACAGGGTAGCTGGGGTACAGATACAGCGTCTCCCAGGGAGCTTTTGTGCTGGAGAACTTGGTGTACCAGGTGGCAGCGGAGAGTGGCAGTGGAGAGGGCAGCTGGGGTACGGATACAGCGTCTCCCAGGGAGCTTTTGCGCTGGAGAACTTGGTGTACCAGGTGGCAGCGGAGAGTGGCAGTGGAGAGGGTAGCTGGGGTACAGATACAGCGTCTCCCAGGGAGCTTTTGCGCTGGAGAACTTGGTGCACCAGGTGGCTGGAGTCCAGATATGGAGGCCAGGGCAGACCAACAGACTTGGAGCTCTGGGACCTTAGACTTCATCTTGAGGCCAACAAGGCACCGCTAATGGGAACAATGGGAGCCGGGATTCCTGAGGAAGAGGCAGGCAGCAGGGTAGATGGACCACAGGGCCAGAGGAACACTGCAGTCTGCATCTAGCTCTGTGCTGGACGAGCTCAGGGCAGCCACGGCTCCTCTGTTTGGGCCACCATCAGGAGCCTTACAGGCTGAATGCAGCCGGAGGTGAGGCAGCCTCGCAGACGCCTCCGCTCCCTGGAGAATACTGCCCAGTGACAGGCACTGAGGGTGTCAGGTCGGGTGTGGGAAGGGCAGGCCTTGTGGCACAGACTGAACTTTGGAGCTGGAGCCCTGCCATCCCTCTGGGTTCTCAGACCCTGAAGGGCAGCAATGGTCTCAGTATGGACAGTGGCAGAACTCATCTTTGGGCTGGCAGACAGTCAGATCCCTGGTTCCTGCCACTCCTCCCTGGGCTACCTAAAACTAGTGACTTAGTTTTGAGGGCAAAAGGGAGATCAGCTAGAGAATGGGAAACAGAGGGCCCCAAAGTTGTTTTAAGGACAAAGGAAAATAACTATTTGACCAGACCGAAATTTGATTGGGTTAAAAATGTGTATTGGATTTCCAATACAAAATAAAAACATGATTTTTTTTTTTTAAAAAGCCATAGAGTTTACAGCATCAACTACAGAAAAGGCCAAACAAGTGTGTACAGAACCCAGTCCCAGCAGTCCTCCGGGCCCCTCCAGCAGATAACACGGCAACAGACACATTTGCTGCACATCTACCCGAAGGAAGCTGCTGAACAGCTCAACTAGGACATGACAAGACACACAACGGTTTAGTTTCAAAATCACAGGAAAATGTAAGAAAATGTATTAAACTGTGAAAAGGTGCAATACAGAATAGCTTTCCTTTTTCTTAATTTTAAAAAAATCTCCCCAACTTTGAACACTTCATTTAAAAATAGGTCCCTCCCCCACCCCACCCCACCCCAATTCTGTGGCAGTATACAGGTACCAAGGCCCTGAGGTAACGGAAGTGTCAGGGAGAGAATGCCCTAAATACTGAGCATGTTCTTTGGGCAAAAGGTAAAGAGAGTTTCTGGGGAGTCCAGCCCTCCTGAAGGCCAGGACGCTTGAACTGTTCCTTTCAGGATCTGATGATACAAGCTGGCTTTCTAGAACCCTGCCTGGCACCGAGAGGCACACAGCTGGCATGGCAGTAGTTCTAGCACTGCACTTTATGTTGTCCCCTAAAGCAGAAATGTAAGAGTTCACCTTGTTGAAAATAAAGTGTGATAAGATGTGAGTTGGGGGAAATGACCCATGTTCAAAGGCAGGTGGCCTGCGCATGGCCTGTGGGGGACCTATGCAACCTAGGTGGGGAGGGGCTTGAGGATGGGGACACCTCTGGAGGTACTGGCAGTCTTGTTGGCTGAGAACCCAGACCCATTTACCTTTTCACTGTCCCCACACTGTCTCCTGAGTAGAAGACACCTGAGGGTCAGTCTTGTATTTTTCAATATACTGTCTTAATATTAAAAATAAAACAATCACACACCTTAGCTCCTTACCTTTTCAAGAAAAAGACCACAAGAACACTGCAGAGGTAAGAGCTTCTGTGTGTGGCGAGCCCTCATTGTACCTCAAACTTCTTGCTGCCTCATTCTACCTGGGGTTTAGCCAAACTGCTGGCGTGGAGGAGCAGCTGCCTCTGGTGGCCCTCTGCTGCCTATATCCTGTCACTTGAAGAACTATGTACAGAAAGATGTGGGAAGCCTGTTGGGTGCTACAGCTCTTGCCTTGCCTCAGCCTTTGGATGCTTTTTCTCATGGGCTCTGCAGCATGGAAGTGAGAGCCAGCCTGGCGGAGGACAGGCACCAGAGAAGGAAACAGAGCTCCTTCCTCAACCTCCCACCTCCCCAAAGGCAGCTACTGCCAACAGCAACAGTGTGCTTTCTGACTTCTGGGAAGAGCCAGGCTCCTGCTCTACGCAGCATCCTCCTGCAACTAGATACACAGCCACAGGATCCTTGGCACAGATACCCATTAGGATAGGACCAAGACAGTGGGGGCTACATCTTCAAACCCACCTATTGCACAGAAGAATTTTTAACCAGATTCAAATGAAACTCCAGTTGCAATGTAGTGACAATAAGATCGACATGCCAGGAAAGGACAATAAAGATGCTTCCATTCTCTGCAGGCTTCTGGAAGAAAGTACGACTAAAACATTCACAGCACCTCAGCAGCCCCTCGGTTTCCTTTTCCCAGCCCCCAACCCCCACCCCAATACTGAATCTGCACAGAAAGCAACAAACAAGTCTTTTCAATGTTACATTTCATTCAAATAGATCTGTAATCTCACAGTGAGAGGAGAAAGTCAGGCCTTTAATAATTATAATAAAAAAATAATAAAAAAGCTTACAAACAGCAATGCAACATTTCCTCCCCCTCAATGTGGTGGATTAACAGCTGGTAGAGGATGCAACATCTCAGAACTAAAACATAAAAACAAAACCAAAAACAAGCCAACCCCTGGAACAACCCACACTGTCAATGACTTTCCATACGCAACTGGAACAAGCAGCCAAATGTCAACCACTTGTGAGAACACCACGGACTTCCTTGGTTTTTAATAAGTTTTTTTTTTTTTTTTTTTTTTTTTTTTTAAGGTAAAATAAAATAGGACACAAATAAAATTGTACATAAACGCCAATGTCTATACTCCATAAAGGTGATGCAGTCGCAGCACGAAGACACAGCCTGACCAAAAAGTGAAACGCAGGTTGTACTTCTCGCCTCTTTCTTGGACTCAGAATTTTGGCCCATGGTGCCCAGTCCCGCAGGGTATCAGCAGGCAAAGGGAAGCTGCCTCAACACAGGCATCTTCCAGGCTGACCAGGAGAAGGCAGTGGCTGTGCCTGGAGCCAGCGCCACACAGAGGTGCTGGCTGGTTTGCTGGCTCATGTGTTCTCAAGTGCTGTCCTCTCGTATCTGTACAATTCCTTGCTTTCAAGGCTAAGTTCCAAGACTTCTAGACTCAGGCTTGGAGCTGTGTCTTGGTGAAGGCTGTCATGCTGTTGTGATGGCATTTAGATCCTTCATTAGTCCTTCCAGGTGGGCCATCTCTTTGGTCAGCTCATCTGGTTCATAACTCTGTGAATAGAACAACACTGTTACCAGACATGACCTGTGAAGCTATGTAGGCAGGAAAGCCCAGAGAGGGTTGGAACCTCAAGTAGTTGATGCTCCCAAAGGTACTGAGATGTCATTCTCAGATATACAAAATGCCTTTCTCCCAGCGCTCTCCAGGTCACAAGGACCTCACAAGCTACAGGCCTGGTCACCTGTCTCTTCTAGGTCTCTGCCACAGTCAGGAGAGTTAGTATGTCCTTGTAACTTTGGCCCTAAACTTTCTTCTTAGGGAATCTAGTACCTAGAAATGCAGAGGCAGACATATTTATGGAATTGAGAGAAGATCAGGGAGAGGCTAGGAGAGTTTGTTTATAGAGTGACCTCTCCATTACCTTCTCCTCCAACATCCTGCTTGGAAAAATATACAGAGCAGCACCAATGGATGAAAGAATATGTACATGGTTCAAAGCAAGAAAAAAGGACCAGAAAGAAGGGAAGGAACCGAGAGGAAGCTGGGCTGATGTGATAGCTAAATGAAGGCATATCAGAGTTGGCAGAAGAGAAAATCCTTCAGAATGTTTCTGGCTCAGAGGACATGCTCAAAACACATCTATTACACCAATGGCTGAATCTGTCTTACCCTCTGGGTGCTGAGGCCTGGGGATGAACAGAATATGCTCCCAGGCTCCAGGACACATGTCTACATCTTAGCTGGCCTGATGGCCTCATGAACTTACACTCTCGGAGTCTTCCAGCATCCTTGTGGTCTCCTGCACATCAGGGGCACTGGGAACAACCACTGGCATAGGAGGCCGGCTCCTTCCTAAAGTCCCGATGGATGCTGTCTTCACTGAGTGAATGTGATGGTTCAGAGCTGAGGCAGAAAGGGCATGTTAGGCAGCTGTGAAGGCTGCCACCTTAGACTCTAGGAAGGTACCCAGGGTCCTGTGGTTGCCTCAGGGAAAAGGATGCACACAGGCCCCGTTCAGGGATCCTATTCTGAAATGGTATGGGAACAAGAGGGAAGCAGGTAGCAGTATAGCGTTCATGAAGGTAGAGAAAATAGTCCATTGGCTTCAGAAAGCTGACAAGCCAGCTCAGTGGTTCGCGAAGTGTGGTGATCCACAGACTCCTGCAGAATGTCTGGGAAGTCAAGACTCTCTATACACTATCACTAGGAAAGCATCTGCTACCTCCATACCACAGGTACAAACACAACAGTAGGCAGGACTGCGTAGAGCCATAATGCAAACTGAGGCAGAGGTGTCAACCTGAGAGGCACTTGCAGTTACAACTTGCCAGTTTCACATAGGACTTCTTAATTAATAACAATTCTTTGATTCATTACAGCTCGACCTTTGATTTCAATCTTTAAATACTACATGTGACAAAATATAAAGAATTCAGAAAATACTGTTGCTATGTACCAAGTATGATGCTATCTTAAAGGATGGGACCAGTGACAGACAGAGTGTGAACTGAACTGTGGCTCTTGTCATTGAACACTTACTTCAAAGGCCAAGAAATGGGCCCTGCAGACATTCTCTAAAACCTGAATGAGCCTACAATTAGGGAAAATAATAGTGTTTACTGTCAACGATAGAATTCAGGTTTTAACTGAAAATCATAATCTGAAAAATTTGAACATCCTAGGTCTGACAGCTTACTAATTATATTCTTTGGTGATTTTAACGAATGTGTTTTTAGACACTGACTAATCAAATGTATCAATAATTGATGATCTTACATAAATTAGTAAACCAGTATTTTCCAAATGACCAATGCATGGTGTATTTCAGTGTTATACATTCACAATGCAAGATGCACTGTAACAGACTAGGAGGAGTTTAGTGATTTCAGATGCCAAACCACCAATAAAGCTTTAGGAAATGACAACTCGTTGAGTTTTACTATAGTAACAACAACAACAAAAAGAATATCCACAAATATCTCAAAAGGTTATAAAAATACGCTTCCTTTTGCCAACTATGTATCTGGGAGGCCAGATTTTCTTCTTGTATTTTAACCAAAACAACATATTGCAACAGCCTGAATGCAGAAGCAGACATGAGAAGAATCCAGCTGTCTTCCATTAAGCCAGACTTAAGAGAGATTTGGAAAATATAAGATAACAATCTTCTCACTATATTTTTTTGAAAAAGTCACTTTTCATAAAATATGCTATTTATCTTATATTACATATTACTGCTATTTTTAAATAAACTAATGAAAAAATTTTTGTTTTTAAGACAGGGTCCAATTACGTAGTTAGTGCAGGCTGGCCTTGAACTTGCTTATAAAGCCCAAGCTGGTCTCTAACTCACAGTGATCCTCCTGCCTCAGCCTACTGACAGCTGGGATTATAGTTGTGTATACCATACCAGCCTAATGAAGTATTTTTAGTTTCTGAGTTTTATTTCTAATATGGTAAATGCTGATGGACATCACCCATATGAAGAAAAGTTCTTTCGTGTTCTTGGTAGCTTTTAAGAATATCAGATTATACAATGATTTCAAAGAGTAGAGAAAAAAGAAATCATGGTCAGCAGTTCCAAGTGACTTTTCTCCTGCAGGTCTCCTCGCCTGTCCAAGCCTCCTTCTGGTTTCAAGTCCTGGCCTCCTGGACTCTTCTCTAGCTGTCAGGCATCTTATGCAGTGAGGTGACTGCAAGGGGCTGGGCAGACTGTATCTGCTGCCCACACCCACGTCATTCCATTTACCTCCAAGGACAAATTCAAAAGCTCAGTCCCTGCTTGCCAAAATAAGACTTCCTGGTTTGTACGCAGTCCCAAAGGAGGAGAGTCCATGTAGTTACTGTGCAGGTCAGTGACACACTGCTACTCTAACCCGCTGGAAAAGTGTGGAGGACACTTGCTTTGTTATTCTTCAAAGAAGTGCTGTGACTTTTGTCCCACACCTGAACCAAAGGGTCCCTCTAGCAATGATGCTGTCCTCACTCACCTTGCTGGGACAGTAACGGTGTGCTTGGTAACGCAGGATCATAGCTGGGGGGTCCCGGGGGCGGGATTGCTGGCACCGCAAAGCTCTTCAATGGGTGAGAAGGGCGAACATGGGCTGTGGGAAGACTCTGGCCTGAGTCTTCCTCTTGTGAACTAGCCAAATAGGAGGAGCTGGTAGCACCTTCAGGATCCTGATGGTCAGTACAGCATGTTTGAGAAGAGGAGGCTGGCATGGTGTCAGTGCTGGGGGTATTTCGAACAGATTCTACAGCAATAAAGCATAAATGTTAGCATTTCTGTTACCATTAAATATATGCAGAATTTTAGCAACTTCTAGGGATTCCTTAAACCAGTCCAGTAAGCACCTGGGATTGGTGCTACTCCTAGAGAACCATGGGCAGGAGCAGACGAATCTAAGCATTCCAAACAATCCTCTCCTCAACTAGCTGTTTTAATTTTTTCACCTAACCAGTAAATGTCACAATTTCACAGATTTAAAGTTTTCTTTTTACTTATTATGGAGTACATACAAAGATTCCCAAGACTACTAAGGTCTAAATAAATATATAAGAAAAAAACTTTATTCATTGACTGATAATCTTAGAGACTGGCCTTTCATAGACAGTCAAGTTTGCTCACCAAGGCTGGCTGTGTGCTGACAGAGTTAGCTCTGCTGGGAAGGCCTGGGGCTCACTGCAGGAGAGGCAAACACTACAGGTCCTGCATGCTCACTGGGGACTGACTGGCCTTGGCTTTCCTAGAGCAAAAGCCTCACAGTGCAAGAGAGAACCACACAGAGCAAACAGCTCTAAGATCATGTGAAATGAAAGGCATTTTGGCCCAGAAGAAGAAATACATGGAGGTGAGCCTGGAGAAGGGAAGGAAAAACTTGGTAGTAACTGCAAGCCTGTGAAGAGGGGACAGAGTGGTCCTGAAAGCAGCATGATGAGCAGGAAGAGCGCTGGCTCTAGAGTCAGACACACCTGCATACCAGTCTGCATACATTAGCTGGGTGAATTTGGCAAAGGCATTGAGTCTCTGAAGTCTTAATTTCTTTATCTACAAGATGGAGAATAACATATAATTCATTGAAGACTAAATAAAACATGAAGTTTGGTATAGTACCTGAAAAACTGAAAAGGTTCTTTTCTTTGTAGATTACTGAGTGCTTACCCTACACCAGGCACCAGCTAAGTGTTTTACATTCATCAGGTCATTCACTCCTGAGAGTAAATCAGAAGGTCTTGGCAAGGGAAGAAAGCAAGTTATTCATGGACATAGAACCAGCAGGGCAGAATATGAATTCTTGTGTGCTGACTCCCACACCTAGGCTCACAGGTTCCACATGGTCACTGCTTTTCGCTGCCTGTCCCCTCACTGCAAGGAAGCAGCAGCACAAAATCCCTGAGGAAGATTTTAACAGCATGAGCCAAGCAGACCACCATAACCTGGAACAGGGGCATGCAACAGGTTGCACCAGGTAGCCTGAAGCGCTTTTCTAAAGACTCATGGAGTTCTCAGCCTTAGAAGCAATGCTTCATGAGCAATTTGCAGAAACCCACCTGCTTCCCTTGTGAGACAGCAATGAACCTGTTCCCTAGGGTTCTGAGGAGCCTGGTCATGAGTGCTATCTCTTTAGCCTAAAAGCCATAGGTCTCAGCAATGATAGACCAACATGCCCTTCTAAGTGGGTCTGGCTATAACAACCCTTTGGGGCTAGGTCACTTTTTACCCTTTTGCTCAAGCCAGCCATCCCTGTGGTAAGGCTGCTGCTGGTCACTGTCTATGTGACCCTGGTCTGAGCGGGAGCTGGTTAGGAAGGAAGCAGGGTGGAGGAAAGAGGAGACTGGGCTCAAGCCCTGAACACATCAGGCAGATGTGGTGGGTCAGCTCTGAGCACAGAGGCCTACTCTGGCAGCCTTAACTGCCTTTAACTAGGAGGTGGGAGGACGAGATCGGGCGCATTCACGGTGGTATGGCTGCAGACTAGGAGGTGGAAGGAAATGTGAAAAAGGACCATGGAGTTGCCTGTCTGGGTCAGAGGCCTGGCTGCTGTCACCACCAATCAGGGCTGCCTTATCCAACTCCAGGAGGCACCAGGCATGATACCTTCTCTGTGAGCTTTGCTCCCTGACACTGTAGTGTCATTAGCCTACTCAGACACTAGGCTGTGACTAAACTTTCAATGTGGGCAAGAGGCTCTCACCTCTCAAACATTTAAGATATTCAAAGTTCACAGTGGTCAAGTGTTTAGACAAGAGGCAAGTGATTTTCTTCTATCAAGTGGTGGTGGCACAGCAAATACCCCCAGAATTGGGACTGCCTGGCTACCTCCCATATCTTGGGCTGTGGCAGGACTGAGCTATAGACACAAGGGCTTGGGAAAATACAACAGCAGGAAAACCTAGACCAGTTCTAGATACTTTTAAAATCAATCTTCAGCGAATCTAAAGATTTTTTACCTTCTTTTATCCTCTCTGGTCATTAAGGGAAGGACTCCTTTGGATATACAAATCATTGCTTTCCCTCTTTCCTCTCTGCATTAGTCCATACAGAAAAGAACTTTCACCAACACTAGACACCTGTACTAGCACTTGGTGCCATGCCTCTTTAGAACCCAAACCTTTCCTAGCCTAGGAGAAGTCAGAGAAGGGTGCTAATCTGACTGGGAGACTTGCATACATTGAGGCAGACCCACATTCTACTGTGGCAGATTGTTGGCCTTCAAAATGAAACAGGATAGTTGGACACAAAACCTTTCCAAGAACAAGTCTGGAGGGCTGCTGTCTAGAACTCTGCTCTATCTGAGGTTATGTCTAGGAGGCGGACTGTGGTTCTTGAGGCAGCTGGCTGGAGTAACTGTCTATTCGGAGACCATCTTTCCCTTAAAAAGGAACCCTGAACCTGGATTCTGAGGGAGATAATACAAAGGCAGACTTCAGACACAAGTTCAAGCAACATTCCTGAAACTAGGCAACAGCTTTGGGAGTAGATAACATTAAGATTTTAGGTATTCCTCATAAAGCTTTGATCGTCATTTAATCTTCTGGGTATATTTATGATTGATGAAAACTAAAGAGGGAGATGGATGTTACTGGCAATCCAAACTTTTATTTATTTTTTATTTCCAAACTTTTAGACATGGGGTTTTGAGATTCTTTTAAAATGGAGTTCCCTTGGGATTTCCTTATTCTCCAGAATCATCAAAATTTAGTTCTATAACTATTACTATGGCAAGTTCAAATGATGGTAAAATTGTATGTTGTATATATTAAGAAACTAGCTGGGGATATAGCTCAGCAGCATACTGCCTGCCTGGCAAAAGCAAGGTCATAAGTTCCATTCCTGGTACAAAAGAAGCTACTAGATTTGCAGTTTATAACTGAAAGATGAAAATTAACTTGTAATTAATGTGGAATGATAGTATTTATTCAGTTTCCTGTCCATTGTTATTGCCTTCTTAAAACTGCTTGATGTTGCTGTTTCTTATGATTTTCAAACTAACATATTTGGCAATGTATTTCTTTAGGTACAATGCAAATGGTTATTAATTTTCTATTTTTCAGAGGTGGGCATCCCTTCCTAATCTTCATGATCCACTGGGCAGCCTGAGGTTTGTCAGAGTGGCGGATGGCCCCACTGCCTCATGAACTTTCTCAATGTTAGGGTGATTGCAAAGCAAAGGCAATTACTTGTATCTGAAAACCAACTAGAATGAGTTTCCTTTCTTTTTTCTTTTTCTTTTTTTTTTTTTTTTGAGTTTCCTTTCGAACTGGAGAATTAAAAAAAAGAAGTTGGAAAAAAAGGACTAATTATGGTGCAAGTTTTATAGAATAAGAGAGGCTTATGAGATTTGTTACTGTTTTCACTAAAACTCTCCACTGAGCACTTAAAATGTGCACAATAGAATGGGATAAATTTCATAAACAGATCTGACTCCATCACAGAAATGTCACAATAAATACACAATACTGAAAAATTCTAAGTAGGCCAAGTCCTTTCCCATTTCTGCTTGCCAACTCTTGGAATGCTCTCCCATCTGGACTTGAGTCTCATCTCTCACCTGTGGAATTGGCCCTGTCTGAAAGGGACATGGATGTGCCAACGGGCCATGGGCTGCCCGGGTGGTAGAGATGGCTGCGAGCTGGAGAAGCGAGGCTGCTGGAGTGGAAATGATGGTGAGGGTTATCGAGGGAATGGATGGGATGGGCACTAATCACAGCTGTGGATGAACACAAGACAGAGAAATGCTTAACATGCTTGTACACACACACATAAATCACAGTTTAAGAGCTAAGTCAACCCCTTACCACCACCCATACAACCAGTCACACCCTTGACTTTTTGTCACAGATAACTGGATTTGGACAATCAGCCAATAACTTTTACTATTGTTTTAACAAATGAATGCACTCCTATGTATGCATTTATATAAGTACAGAAAAAAAGCCCAAGGAGTAGGTACTAAAATGTTAACAGTAAAAGCAATGCTTTAAGGGAGGAGTGATTAGGATTAAAAAACTATTTTTATTTTGCTTTATCAATATTTTCTAATTTTTCTATTATAAATGTGGGTTACATGACTTATTAAAAATATCTACTTGAATATATAAAAAATGTAAATCTCTAAGTAAACAGTAACTTAGAGAATGTTTTCTGGGGGGATCCTGCTGATGGCACTAAAGTCTCTTTTCCTTCTCCTTTGAGTAGAACCTTAATTCATCCTTTTCTATTTGCTGAAAGAGGCATGTAATGGATACTAAAATATGAGCAATGTTTAACCAGTTTTTGTATCTTAGAAGAAATGCAAATCAAATTAACTTTGATGGTCCAATCTAGTTCTAAAAGCATGAACTATAAGCCTCTGGCACCATTTCTCCAGGAATATGCACCAGCATTTACTTACTTATTTATTTAGACAGAACCGGGGATTGAACTCAGACCCTTGCCCTTGCCAGGGAAGTGCTTATTCTACTGAGCCATCTCCCCGGTCCCAGCATTTTAAATATAAATAGATCTTTCTTAATTTCTTCTTTCTTCCCAGACTGGCTATGGATTCAATTTACTGCATTTATTTTCACAGAGAGTCTACATACAGCTTTCTATGAAGGCTTGTAATGAGGCTCCATATTTAATCTCCAAGATGTAATTTTTGGCCTCCAAAAATTAAAGGCCAATTTGAGAATAAAATTTTCTTAGAACAGTTGCAGAAATTCAATATTTAAAATTAAGATTATCACCTCTAAACTCCCTCTCTCTCACCAAATAGGCAGAGTATTCTAGGAAAACAGGGAATCTTTTTTCTTCTCTCTAACCAAGGACTTCATTAACTTTATGGTAACACTTAAACCCTTTGAAGTCAGGCAAAATGTCTTCTGCCACCCAAGAACCTAGATCTTTGTGGGCCCTTAACCATTTGGTGAACAGAAATCCCAGACAATGAAATAGATGGATTTGTTCTCCACTGTCTCCTGTCCTGGCAATGTTCACACAAGCAAATGGCACAGCCGGCTGTCCTTCCCTTGTTCAAGGCCTGGGAAACAAAACGGGCTGACTTTCCCTCCAGAGTTGCTCTCTGGGAACAGAAGGCGCCAGGAGATCCATGAGAATAAATTCAAAATTTAAAAAAGCTAGTTGCAGATAGTTCTCATAGTTTTTAGAAATGAGATGCTTCAGAACCGGCCTTTCCCAAAATTCTGGCTGGGGGAGAGGGAATAAAACTTCCCTCATTTTGATCCAGAAAATGCAATCTGAAGGTATGTGAGGTATACTGGACTTTCACAAAAGAACATCAGAATAATTTCTTTTTCTTTTTAAAGGCATTTCCAGTTTCTAAATAATAAAAAGTGAACTATAAATGCACCTATTTAGACCACAGTAGGCAAGAGCAGTTGTTAGCTGAAGCCGAACTCAACAGCTCTCTGAGGACGGGCCCTCACCCTGATATCAGCAAGCCCTATGTACTACTGCTCGGCTTTTTAAACTTTATTTTTATTTATTATTTTTAATGCATTTAGTACAGGGTCTATAGGGTCTCACTACACAGACTGGACTCCTAGTGATCTTCCTATTTTCAGCCTCCCAAGTGCTGGCTTTACAGGTGCGCTTGGGAGGCTAAAGCCACCACACCCAGTCTCAGTCACTGGCTCAGTGTGCCTGGGGGGTGAGGCCAGCACAGCAAGAGGGGGGATCGAACCCCAATTTCAGCAGGTGCTTTAGTCCACTGAGCTATTTGGCCAGTCCTTGGCTTTTTTTAGTCCAGTGTAGGTGGATTGTGAGTGCTTGGCTCTCGCCTCAACCCAGAACTCAGAACCCACAGTAGCCCACCTTGTGAAAAAAGACTTGTAGTCATGTGGATTTTGGAAAGAAATTCTCAAAACCTAAAGTCCACAGCTGTGTCTGGCCACAAGTGTGTCTGTCTGTCCTTGGCTTTATAACCTCATTTTGGATTCTTAAATTAAATCTTGTAATTTAACCTATTGATCCCCCTAGTTGTTGAGGTAAAAATTACATTTGGATATTAATGCATGCTCCTTAACCACCCTCCACAAAAAAAAAAAAAAAGAAAAAGAAAAAAAAGAATGATGTCAACTGGGTTAAATTTTTTCTTTAATACATTTAAAAGTAAGGAACCTAGAAATAGAGACTATTAATTTAAGTTTTAAAAATAAGCCTGTTCAGGTAGGAATTGAGGCCTTATACATAATAGAATAAGCAGTCAAGATACCATCCTCGTGTGAGGAAAAAAACAGGTGGAATTTTGTGCTTTTAAACCTGGGGACACTGAGAAGGACACTTGGACAGAAAGAAAATCCCGGCTTTCCCTTAGACAGGTCCAAATCCAGGCCTTTCTATCATAGATCCTAAGCATACACTACTTCTTGCAGAAATTATGGACAGGGAAGATAGCTCAGTGGACTAAGTGCTTGCCTGGCAAGTGTAGGTCCTGAGTTTGATCCCTGGTAAAAACAAAATAAAAAAAAAAAAAAAAAAAGAAAGAAATTATTCATTATGAGTTCTATGCTGTAAGCCTACAGAATAGAGTCTTTCTCTTTCAGAGCTGATTTTTATTTATTTATTTTTTAAATATATTTGGTTGTTACAGGGTTTCACTATGCAGCTCAGACTCACAGTGATCCTCTTGTCTTCAGCCTCCCCAGCGCTGGAGTTATAGGCGTGTACCATTACACCTGGACTCTGTGGCTGGCTGGACTCTGTGGCTGGCTCAGCCCACCCTGGGGCAAGGCTGGCATAGCATGTGGTGCTGAATCGCAGTCTGTGTGCTTGCTTAAGCTTGCCTAAGCAGGCTCTTTAGTCCACTGAACTATCTTGCTGGCCCCCAGAGCTGATTTTTTACAATCTAATCCCTGCCATATTTGTGTGCTGTGTGCCCAGGGTGGGTGTGTATATACCTCTGCATGCTTGCAGTTTCTAGCACAAGGGAGGGAGGGAAGAACTTTCCCAAGTGCAGAATGCTGTAGTGCACCTCTGTGTGTGTAGGGCGTCCATGGCTATTAAATTTCATTGTCTGCTAGCAGAGAGATGGCCGGTGACGTCACTTCCTCAACTTTCAGTATGAAAGGCTTCTTAACTTGAAAACTGAGACCAGAAGAGGATATAGTATTTGAAAAAAAAAAAATTGGTTTGTACCAATTCATTACTATTTAATTTTTAACCATGATACTTCGCTTATTTTGAATTTCAACTATGATTAAAGGAGGCTCAGCAACTTTTAAGCTTATTAAAATGAGGTATGAAAACCAGGTGCAGGGGCACACACCTACACTGTAAGAGGCTGAGGCAGGAAGATCAGAAGTTTGAGCCCTGTCTGGGCAACTCAGAGACCCTGTCTTAAAATAATATTAAAAGAAAAAAAAAAAAATGGCACAGCAGTCCTGGTTTGATTGCCTGTACCGGGGGGTGTAAGGAAAAGAGGCTTTGGGTCAAATGAATTTCAAAATTCAAAATGCTAAGCTAATTCTAAAGTATGACATCTACTAATTAATAATAAAAGTTCCATAGGAGCTCTTCAACAATGATTGTGTTGGGAAGCCTAAAGAATGCTTGGGATACCTGAGCTCAGCCTGTCTCCAGGGATACTTCCCCTTCTTTCTCTCTGTGGAGGAGCTATTATGCTTTCAGGGGACAGAATACTTTCCTATTCTAGGGAGACTACAAAAGTTGGAATTTTAGTTTATTTACTTGGAACTTCAAGGTGATAGTCTCAGGAACAATATTTATTGCAAAATATATCAACTATTTTGTATTTTTTCCTTCAAGGTATCACAGCTTCAGTAGATTATATTCTGTGCTAGAACTGAGTAAAGGCAGAGATCATTCATACCCTCTTCCCCACCATGACGGGACAGCACTGGAGAAAAAGAGAAACTTTTACTTACGCTGGGGTGGCTGAGAGTCAAAGGGCATCATCATTTTTGGCCTCATCCCCCTCCTTCCAGCCAGTGTAGACATGCTGTCCTCTGATTCATGCCCTATTTATCAAATGGAAGTTAGTTGTGTGTGCCATATACCACTAGTAGCCTCAGCAGTAAAAAAGTCCTAGATGGGATCCAGGACTCACTAATGATGCAATAGGGACTATGGATGTCTGCAGTGAAGTAGCATGGGAATTCCACCTGAAAGAGTAGATAACCCCGTGCTACCTGCTAAGGTTTAGTGCAGTGTTTGTAAGAATGACCCGAATACCACATTGATAGCTGGAATCCAATGGAAGGGAGTGAATGCAACACAGTCGTGTGCTTGGTGACTCAACTACTTTAGTGAACCTGATGAGACTTTTAAAAGATTTAGATTTCCTTACGGGCACAGAATCTCTCCCCTGTAAAAGGTAAACTATTCTTTGTTACATGACCAAATCTTGTAATATACGTTTCTTCAAACCTAACCATTTATAGGAATCATCATAATAAGGCAACTTTACAAAGTAAAAATGAAAATAGTCTTTCAACATCAGGGGAAACAAACGCACTGAGAATGAATGGTACCTCTGTATGAGTTCCGCCTTTGATGGATATTGCTGTCCATGGAATTGTCCACCGGTGTGATGTCTTGAGAGTTTCGAGGAATGGGCGTATCAGTCATGATGGGGTTTGGGTCTGGAGACTTGTCAATGGGTTTCAGCTCCAGTCTCTCATGATGGATCCAGAGGTCTGGAGGTTTAACATCTTTGGAGTTCCCTTTATACTTGTGGGAGCCGTTCACTGATTTGCAGGCAGCTCGTTTCCTAGGTACAAAATTTGATGAACTTAAAAAAGTACATTCTTTTGAGCATATTTGTCAAAACGCTTAAGTTATTAAATTGACTTTCCGAGAGGTGCTTCAAGTGAAGGTGGGAATTAAAACAAAACACATGCAAGTTTATTTTTGAAGAGAGTAAAAGTACCTCAGATCTCTACTTTGTCCATACATATTTAGAGATTGTACCAGGGCATTGTCTTGTGACTACTTTTATTGTATTAAAAGACAGTATTTTAAAATTAATCTCTAACATAGAAGGTTCCTCTACAAGTTTTCAATGCATAGAGAAAGGATAGTTAAGCAGAAATATAACAATGGAGAATAGTCTGTGGCTTATAAAGGAAGGAGAGATGGCTTGTATCTAGGTGTTGCTCCAAAGCCTTATGTGGTCACAGGTGGGGCTTTTTGGAGGTGGCTGGATCTAGGATGTGTGATGCTGGGATTAAAGGGTGTGAGATAGAATATAAGGAACAGAAATAGCGCTGCTATTGTCGCTTTGCTACTTCACTACTTTGCTGCCTTCTGCTTGCCATGAACAGTTTTTCTTCTGCAATGCCCTTCTGCCTTAGAACCAGTCAACTATGGACTGAAATCTCTACAAACTGTGAGCTAAATAAACCTTTATTCCTTCAACTATAGGTGTCAGATATTTTGTCTCAGCAATAAGGAAAAGTAAGACAGTAACCCAAACTAAGATCACTAAATAGGTGGAGTCAAGCACAGAGACAGCAGTTTCTCTATCACTGTACTTCAGCTTCTCCCTTCACTCATTCCCTTACCCCAGTGAATAACTGTGTGGTAGGTACCTAACATATGTCAGATCCTGTGCTAGCCTGCTGTGTCCTCAGGGCTTTTAAGTGCTGGAAGCAAGTTAAGACAGATGGTGAATTATTATCTTAAATGCTCTGAGCTTAGTGAAATGCCAAGTGCTACAACAGCTTTGAAACAGCTGGGCCTAAAGGAGCCAGGAAAGACACAGAAGTGACATTTATGTTGAGATCTGAAAGGGACAGGAAGTGCTTTCCAGGCAGTAAACTCAGCTGACATTACAGCTCTGAAGCAGAGTAGCACCCTGGTATCTTAAAAGGATTTTAAGAAGTCTTGAGTAGTGGGATATAGCGAGCCATTCAGAGAATGGCAGGAAATAATGCTGAGAGGGGGGGTATGAGACCAGATCATAACAGGCACTTAGAACAATGGTGAGTGTGAATTTCCCTTTATGAGTAATAAGAAACCATTAAAAGACTGAGCAAGAGAAAAGAGTAAATTTTTGAGTTAAAACTTTGGACTAGCTGTGTCATTCATAAACAATGGCTTCATGAGGTAGGGACAGGAAAGGATCCAGGTTAGGATGTTACTTTGTCCTGGCATGAATAATGGTGGCTTGGTACACTGGAAGAGGCAGAACTAAAAAGTTAAGAGGCAGAATGATGAGATTTGGTAAGCAAGTGAAGGTAGGATGGATATAGGTAAAGAAGAAAAAAAAAGGTAAAGGATGTGACCAACATTTCTGGCTTAAGTCACTAACACTGGGAATAATGGAGTTGAAAAGGTTTGATTGAAACTGTTATGAACTACTTCTGATATGCTAAGTTTAAAGTGCCCCTGAGACATTCAGGAGAAAGTGTGAAAAGAGGCAACTGGGTACACAGGACTAATACTTCGGAGAGAAAGGCCTTGGCTGGGGATAGAAATACAGGAGTAGCTGGCACGTACATAATGAATGAGACCACAGGAATAGATGAGCTCACCTGGGACATAGTGAACCATGTGGAGAATGACAGGAAATAATGCTGGGGAGGTAGTACGGCACAAAGGAGAAGAGGACAAGCCCAGGCCCAATCTCTACGGAACATTTATATGTGAAGGCAGAGCAGATTGGGGTGGGGTCATGGCATACCAGAGAAAAGAAGGCTTCGAGAAGGAAGGAATAGCCTGAAAAATGTCTTTGGCTTAAGCAATATGGAGGTTACTAGTGAACCGGGAAAAACAATTTTGGTGAAATGGGAAGAATTTGTGTTAGAGAACTGACATATGAGTAGGCAGTGAAGGAAGGGACATTGAGTACAAATAAGGACAGCCAGTGGGGAAAAAGGAACCCTTCTCCACTGCTGGTGGGAGTGTAGACTGGTGCAACCGTTATGGAAATCAGTATGGAGATTCCTTAGAAAAGTTGGT